CAAGCATACGACGTACAAGACCGCACGAGCTCGACCCTTCTCTACAACTCCTGCCTCCACCCAGCCTACATCGACGTGCAACTTCGCTTCTCTATCGCCTTTGGCTGGGAGTTGCTTTCACGAAAGCTTATACCACGTTAATCGGAATTACTGACAGTGCGGCGTGCGATGTTTGCGGCACCGACGAAAATATTGAACACCTGCTGTGCCATTGTCCTCGATTTGCCTCAGATCGACAAGTACTTGCCAACGCAATGCGGCGACTGGATGATCGGCCTCCTTCTGTGCAGGTGCTATTACAGCAACGTCCACATGCCTCGACAGCCCACAAGGCAGTGAAAGCTCTGCTGTGTTTCCTGAGAAAGACAGGCTTGTGTGAACGCCTCTGACATGCGGTAGAGTTCTACACGCTGCAGAGAAATTACTGTCAGTCTCTCCCACACACCCTTTTTTCCCTCTCTTCCCTCTTTCTCGTCTTTCTTGTCCCCTTCCCTAATCCCCCAGTGTAGGGTAGCCAACCAGATGTCTTTCTGGTTAACCTCCCTACCTTCTCCCTTTCTGTTGCTTCCATTGCCTGGTCAACGAGGATCGCTCACTTTTGCTTGGTGGCTTCGGGCGTACTAATCATAGTTCATATCATTATACGCTGTTTGCTGGCGTGACATCGCAGAAAAGAAATTTCTCACAGAGTGTGTAAATATCTGCCTCAGTGACTGTCGACTGCCTTCGCTGGCGCATGGATGGCGTGCCCTTTATATCGTGAGGATGAATGCGACACGCTAAAGCGTGAAATAGTATACTACGAGCATGTGAAAGTGGTATTTTCGCTTCTGCTATTTCGCTGCAGTAATTTTCCACAATCTGAACGGCCGTTTCAAACCGTTTTTTCTCAGGCCGCGTGAAGTTACGAGACTTCGTAAAACTTGCACAAGTCCAAAATTGGTTCTCCATTCTATCGACATGGTAACCAAACGAAATAAGATCCCCAGTGCTTAACGATGGCGCTTGCGGAGCGAGTATTAGGTCGCGTGAGTAAGTCACGTGATTTTGTATAACTAGCGCCAGTCAAAGAGTGGTCTCAAACGCTATCGACATGGTTATCAAAAGAAAGCAGATCGCGGGTACTTTGCGATGGCAAGTGTGCTGCGAACATCACGTCGTGTGAGCACGTGACGTGACTTCGTTAAACCGCCGCCAGTATAACGGTGATCTCAGCCCTACCTTCAAGGGTATCAAATAAAAGGAGTTCTTCAGTGTGTTACAATGGTACGTGTGACACGAACACCACGTGATGATGACCTTATTAGAGTCGTTTACAGCACTTCAGACAGACATTGTTTCACACTAAAGAAAACGCAAACGCTGACCCGTCAAGAGCAAACGAGTAGTTGTGCTGTCACTTCTAGGATAAAATGGCACTTTGCGGTTACTTTACCCGCTTCGCGCGCTAGGAGCGCGATTCTTTTTATCTGAGGGGAGACACCACGCCAGGCCAACAGAGCTACAGCAGCTACTGTGCAGGATGGAGCATCTGACTAGAACTATAAGTTGCCACCGACAGCCTTGAGCACAACCATATTGCGCGAAAAGGAAACCTTACAACATAGAAGCGAGTTGACGTTATGCACCGGGAGGGGCGCAACGAAAGGTGCTCCCCTGTTTGTAGGATGAGGCGAGTTGTGAAGGTATGCGTCAGAAAATACTGCAATCGCGCTATCCCTGAATCTAGTTGGGATTGTCGAAAAATGTCTTCCGCCATGTATTTCTGGGAGGCGTCCTACTATTTCCAGATTGTTATTCACGCCAAGAGCGTTACCCATTTAAGGCATGAAACGTTTTGCAGTCAAAGTTAGGACGCTCTAGTTGAAATCCATTCAAAGTCTTACAGATAAGCTAGCAGTTCTTTACACATTCGGTCAAATGCCATTTACTTGTTCTAGTGTACCCTGTGTTTTAGCATCAGTTCAACATCTCGAATGAGATTTAAACAGAAATTCACAGCTAATAATTCAGGTAGGTATAGCCAACAGTTACCGCGCTATTTTAAGTACTCATGAATCTCGAAATAAATTCGCAAAACAACTTTCAATATCAATCGGATGTTTTGCTGAAACAGCATGGCAGACCTTCAAATGGCAACCAATTTAAGAGAGATCGAGAAAACAATTATTGTGTAAAGCTTGAGAGTGAACGCGGGAGGGTCTCCTATTTCATGAGCATTCTGGCCTGGAGAGCCTCTTGGGCTTGAGTGACGAGTTGACGCTGGTCAACCAGATCCGGCTGGGTGGTTGCAGCCTCCCACGCTTCACTGAGGACAGCTTGGCCCGCATCTGGTGCTGCTGTTTTTAGCCTTGGGACGCTTACTTTGCACTGCAGCAATAGGTGTGCCGGAGTGCCTGCCCCATTGCAGTGAGAACAAATGTAGCTATGCTACGTTGGCCTCATATTATTCAATGGTACGCCGTGGGTGAACGTGTTGCTTTGAAGGTACCTGTAGCTAGTGCCTTCGGCTCATCTGAGTTTTCATTGTGGCGGAGCGTACGACTTGAGTTCGAGCCGATAATGATGTAATTATGCATGATAAATTAGTTCTGCAGGTTTTCTTCCCTCTACTTTTGTTGTCGAGTGGGATGTGCCTCAGATCTCGCATGGGTATGCCCTGTGATGCATTCATGGGCTGCGGTATGTGCCGTTAATTTCCATCGAGAGCTTCATGACCCAGAACTCACACGATGCTTGTGTAAGGGAGAAGATCGCCCATGCGTTTTAGTACATTATTCGCCACTGTGGAGAACCTGCCTTTCAGGTAGTTCCATGCCAATGTTTGTGAATCGGTAAAGATCACAATGTGATTCACGCTTGACTGAGTAGGGAGTGCTTTAGCAGCTTCTTCAGCTGTTTCCGCACGTTTGGCGAGAATGGTCATCGATGCCAGTACCGTGCCCTTGCAATCTGTGACAGCACGAAGGCTTTCCGTCTCGGACCCTTGGCTGCGTCCAGATATCGCGCCGGCGGTTTATTGCGATGTTGAGTAGGCAGGTTTCGACGGACTTGCTGAATATCAAGGCATTCTCGGAGCTGTGGCGGTATTTTGCGTTTGCGTTCTTCGTCGGGTTTTAGAGTGGTTTCATACACTGTGCGTCAAAATACGGCTCGCCCTGTAGGTGATAGCTTGAGTCTCTCGACCTAGCTGATGAGATGTGCTTCAGTGAGTTCTTCCCACTTATTGTGAACTCCCATGCGGAGCAATGGGTCAGTGGAGGTGGCTAGGAGCAATCCCAGGGCAAGCTTATGAGTCTTTTGTATGAGTAGATTTAGCTTTTGTTTCTCCGCTGTCCTCAGGTTGAGGAAGAAAGTTCCGTACGTTATGCGACTGTAAAGAAGAGCTTGTGCGATTTTTAAGGTGTCGTTCTCTTTGAAGCCATGGCGGTGGTTAGCCACCCTTCAAATCCAGTGAGTGAGCGGTGTCACGGTGCTCTGCAGCCGGGGTAGCGCAGCGGAGCCAGATCCATCTTTAATAGTCTAAGGACTCCAGGTGTGTCAACTTGTGGTATTTGAACTCTTTGTAGAAATAATTGTGGGTCCGGTGAGTCGTAGCTTGGTGTTCTGCCCTGGGTGAGTGCCAGAAGTATTAACAGTTCTGACTTTTCCAAACTTATTGGAGCCCGCGGGCTTTTATATATTCTTCAGTGATGCTAATCGCCTCCTGAAGTCGGTCGTCCTGTTCACTCGTGCTTGCACCTTTTGCCCACATAGTGATATTATCGGTGCGTATAACGCGTGATGTATCCGTCGCTCTGCGGTTGTGGAGGAAGCCAGCCTGTAGGCGTATGTTTTAGCGCTGCAGCCAATATCTTCAAGATCACGCAAACTGGCTTTATTGCCTACATTGTCAAATGACCACTTTATGTCGAGAGCTCGAACAGATGACTTGATAAGCTTTCTCAAGCGGATACTACCTTCCTTTATCTGCAAGAGGACGTCTTGTGTGCTGAGCATTTGGTGGAAGCCGAAGATAGTGTTCGGGTAGATACCGTTTTGTTTTAGGTGTATGATGAGCCGATCGTTAACCATGTGCTCATAGTTTCCCAGTGGAAGACGTAAGGGAAATGGGGCGAAGATTTGCAATCGAGATACGCTCCTTTAACTTGGGTCCTATGGTCGCCTCCGAGTGCTTCCCAGCTTGTGGTAGTTTGCCCTCCCTCCAGCAGTCGTTATAGGGCCGAAGCAGTGCCGTAAATGCCCGGGGCGGTAGCTGGCATTTTTTCATTTATTCTTTACGGATTTATTACATATAAAAGCTTCAGTACCTTGCAGTAAGCTTGAACGGGCATGCATAATTTTCACTGCGAACCTGACTGTAACACACAGTTAGAAACACAGTGACAGCATTACATGTGCTCAAACAAGGAGAAATGCTCTTTACCTTCAATCAAACAATTCATTATAAAAGTGGAGCAATCAGAGGTTATGGATTCTCACAAATATTTGGAACGCTTGCTGAAGGAACTACACTACCTTCACTAATCACAAATAACCATGCTGTATCGATCGTTACTGAGTGCGTCCTTTTATGCACGTAATAATAAAATATGAAAAAAAAACTAAAAACTTCGCACAAGAACATCAAAGTACGCATTTTACTGAGCGCATTTAAAATTTATTCAGTTTTTTTTTCGAAAGAACATGAGTGGCCACGTTGTTTAGGTTCTGTCTTAAAGCATGGTTTTTTGTTCATGTTCATTTCTTCTGCAGAAGTAAACAGAAATTATCAGACTTTCAGCTCTTCATCTGTTTTTAAGTAAAATGTAGTTAAGGTGACGTCCACCAGCTCTAAAAATTATTCGGAATAAGCGCAAGCTTCCTCTAAAGTTTTCCTACTTTTTGGTACTTGATACAATTTAAAGACCTTGAGCTGCATGGCCTCAAGATGGTCTGATTATTGGTCATTCTGCGATATAAGTGGTTAATGTTCTCACATTAAACTCGTCATTTTTCAGTCTCGGCTGTGCACACGATGGGGAAGATGCTTACAAATGGCCTTATGGTCATATTGGATCCAAAGATTGTGACTGGAATATTGGCTACATCATGAGTTATGCGTTTAAAAAGCCATATCTGTACCAGTTTTCTCCCTGCTGCCAGCGGGAAATTATGAATTTCTACAAGTAAGACATCTTCAGTTTGATAATGAGGGCGCGTTTCTTCAGCGTTAGTAAGTGTGATTTACGTTTCCAGCCGCCCAGAATATGGATGTCTTCTTGTCAAAAACAGCATTAAAACTGGAATATTTTCGACCAAACTACCTGGCAGTGTCTCAAGTCGGCAGGTTTACTGTGAGAAAGTATACTATGGCTACACCCACGTTAAGGTCGACCGGGTGAGCAAAGAGACTTTCAGGTTGTTCTATCTATCTATCTATCTATCTATCTATCTATCTATCTATCTATCTATCTATCTATCTATCTATCTATCTATCTAGTCATCTGTTTGCCTGTGTGTCTGTCTGTCAGTACGTCTGTCTGCACAGCAACCTTTGTCCTGCAAACCGTTTTATTAGGTCGATTCGCGCCAAAGTTAGAATGCTTGGCCTTAGTCTAATAAACCAATAACAATAAATATCACGAAAACCATGTGATGAGCATGTGACCCAAAAACCTTTATTACACAGACTCGCTTCGTTCGCGCTTATTCTAATTCGGTAAATGCGAGACCTGGCATCGTGATTCAGAACCGTTTGATGACCATAAAATGAGTTTGCGTGATGAGTAGTATAATCTGAGGAATGAAGAAAAAGAGTGAAAATTTAATGGCTGGTTTTTCTTTGTTAGATCAATAATGAGAATTATCAGACATTGAAGCCAAGAAATGTAAAGGTGGATGTTGTTACTAGTAATTGTAAAATAAATGGGAAGAACGGGAAATGAAGGAAAAGATAGCAGGCCGTAGGCAAGGACCAAACATACGACCTTAGAACAGAGCTGGGAAGTGTCATATTGAAAAAGTGTAACCATTTTACCTCGGAGATCATTCCCAATATATGTATTATAGCATCGAGGTACGTTTGAAAAATGTGTTTACATCTCCGTAGTGAAAAACCTTCAAGACGTGTCCATGACAAAGCGATATTGCAGAGGACAAATAAATTTGTTACGCTCATTTATCGGCAAGGAAGTGGTCATTCGCAAAGAAGAAAACACTTTTCTGCTTTGCTAAACAAAGGCACGTGAGTTTTGCAGCTGTAAATTTGCGGTATATAATGGAATGCTTGTCTTTCCTGTGTGTTATCGACCAGTGCTTTCAATCCTATTCCTCCCCAACTGAGATCATTTCGTTAAGTTCTTGCGCAGTGCCAGTCTTTAAAATGGTCATGCCTTAAGTATAGACGCGGTTGAACTTTCCTATTTTCTTCTACATGGCCATCTGTTAAGGCCGGTTAACGACTGTATCACTATGAGCAGTGGTGAGCGTGCCTTCAAAACTAGCAGTAGCATCGCAACTGAGTCATTTCTCGAGCTCTTGTCTTTTTGTTTAGGGTGTATGTTTATATCTGCAAATAAGTGGTGTTTGTTCAAAAGAGTAGAATGCGCATAGTGTTCAGTGTTTGTCCCACCGTCACCGATATATTTCTCAGTAATTTTGATACAACCCTAGATAATGCCACACTGCTTTCTCAAGCTTTTTTATATCCCCTTTACACGTGTAAGTGCTCCCTTGCGGAAACCGCACTGATTAACTATCAACCCTGGATATAATCTTACAACATATGATGCAAATTCGCACACAACGCGAACATCACAAATTGTTCTGGGACTTACGTGGCCTTTAGCGATAACGCCAAAATATTCGACTGCACATGAATTTGCTGACACGCTTCATCGCATGTCAGCTTATCGAAGATCGACTCTTTGCGTACGGCCATCATTTTACAACGCGAGTTGATTGCAGTAGTGCCAGTTTCTGTTTTCCTAGCCTGAAGTCCGGCCAAAAAAATAGCTTCATTATGTACGCGCCCTGTCTGCCTTCATCAACGTCACGATGACGTGACAAAACGATTGAAATGCCCACTATGGTTTTCTCTGTGTGAGTGATGACGCAATTTTTTTACAATGATCTCATGATATCAAGGTAGCTAAAATATTCTGTATTGTTGTAAAAAATGAACTTAGCCTAATGTTTGTTCCTGAATTCTTGAAAGATGTCTTAGTACAGTTTCTTGATTTAAAGGTAGTTACCATGAACGCCGAGTTATGTTTCCTGAGAATACGCAGACGGATAAGTGAAACCTTTGTCAAGCAGAGTACAGCTCTGACTACATGGCGTTTCTGAAAATGTCATTATTTTTTTTAAGTATTTTTGACGACCATATATTGTCACTATTTGGAGGAATCTCGTTTTAGTGGTCCGGTGCTGAAACTGACGGAAGAAGGTGTTGCGCGAGAAAAGATTTCTGCTACTGTCGAGAAACTGTTTAAGAAAAAACAAGAAGGCAACACTATGAACCTGGGCCAGTTCTAGAAATACGTAGGAAATTGGCTGCTAAAATGTAATAATGGTTTCACTCACCAACATAAGAAAGTATCTTCAAAATATTACGTACTAGTTTTGTCCTCCAACCGAAGCAAATTCCGCAATCAGGTGCACCAACGCATACTAAATACTGCGCTGGTTCAACCGAGGTGCACCACCGCACACAAAATAAGTGGGTCGCATCAAAGTTTGGTTGCCCTGTAAACATGTCCCAAGATGACTATTTTGCTGCTTCAACGTCGTTTATCATTCATTTGTTATGTAACCACCTTTATGTGGCGAAGACGGGGTGGTGTCTTAATGAGCGCTTAAGGGAGCACTACAATTCTTTGGAAGGCCTGGCAAGCTCATACATAACAATGCATTGCAGCAAGCGTAGGTACACGCCAGAGTTTAGTTTTATTGGCAAAACACAGAAACAAAGAGACTGCAGTGAAGCTATGTCTTGTAGCACTTTCATTACACATAGTGAGAGCAAAAGCCTCGAGTTCTCGACTGACTATTCTGGTGACTTTTTCTGGTGCTGGTGGTTTATGTAATTTGGGCAAGTCTTGCGAATCTTCGCAAGAAGACGTAGCCATCGTGTGGGGAAGGCGGTAAAATCGGTGAAAGCTTTGCCTAATTTTTGCCTGTTCGACGGGATGACAATCTGCTATGACCAACTCTACCATCGAGCAGTCCTTGCAAAACAGGATATTGAAGGTGTCATAGGCAATTCTTCTCAGGATGTGCCCTACTTTGCCATCCTCAGGCATGTCCTTGCCGACCTTGTGGCACAAATTGAACACGTCTCAGATTTACCTGAGGTACGGCTTCGTGGATGTCCGGGCACGAGTCGCGAACACTTTTGTTGCGGTCAATTGTCGTCGATCGGTTCCCAAATAAATAGCGTAATTTTATTTTTCAGACATCAGAATTGTTCAACTTTTCTTGATGCGTCTTGTACCAGAGCTTTAGCGTCCGAAGAAGATGATCTTTGCCAAGATATGCGTCTAATCCCATTTGTTGCCGGTGCTGGCGTGTTCCTACAGAACAATCCAGTCGTCGACGTCTATGCCACTTGGGCCATTGAATGGACCAGGGTCACGAAGTTGCACCACAGCCATCGGCGGTGGGGCTGGGAGATCTTCTTCACATTGAGCAGCTTGCTAAGTCGTTGTGGTAGGACCAACGCACCGTCCGGTGCAAAGATGCAGCTCCTGGTGCTGTATAGCAGGTCATACCACTCACTTTTAACCAAAAATGTTGCGGCGAAAAAAGTATATGCACAGGATGTATACGCGAGAAAATGCGTAGAATGCTACCACAGTCGACGCGCGTTACACCTTGCCATTATTCTCAAGTATCTTCCCAGCCCGTGAAAATGTCAACACACTCAGTGGGTTCTGGTTGTTGGCGCCACCGTAGGTGTATCACACTGCCTTCTATAAGTAGGTATATATGATGGCGCCATCGGACTTTGGCGAAAGCTTGAAAGCGTGGTTACGCACCTAATGAAGACGTGACTTAAATTACGCTGCATTTGGTCCGTCGCCCTTGTGGGAAAAAACAATCTTTAGAAAGCGAAGCTGTTATTGATCGAGCTTTCAAGTCCAGGGACCATCATAAATTGTAAACTTACTGCGATTTACTCATACTAAGTGGGAAAATTCACTATTGATTTGTGCCACTTCTCCCTCAACTCCCACTGCTCCACGTTCCCGCAGCTTACCACTACGCCCACATTTCCGCCTATTGAGTGCTTCCAGAACTCGCCATTACGCTCACTACTGCTTCCACCACACCTCGTACTTCAATCTCCCACTTCAAATTACTACATTCCTATTTCCTTCAACCTCACTGCATGTCACCAGCTTCGCTCTTTCATCAGTGTCCGCCAGGCAGAGCTCGTTGCATACTTAGGTGCGAAGCTCCTTAATGCGTGTGTCGCGCGTCTCCTTTATGTAGCAGCCACTTCTCTTTTTAGTTCTTAGAATGCCCGCTAGATGGTGGTACTTGCCCAGGTTGAATACATTGTCATGGGTATAGCAAGGTACTTCAGACCGGGGGGGCCAAAACCACAAAAAATAATGAAAACGACGATGTTCATGTGGGCTGTGCTGGCCTCCAGCTTAACCCGCCCAAGTGTACATTTGAACGCCATCAGATTAAATTAGTTGGCCACCTTGTTGACGCTACTGCTGGGCGGCCCGAACCTCGCAAAGTCCGAACTGTACGCGAGTTCCCGGTCTAATGTTCCGAACAAGAAGTCCGCAACATTTTGGGGCTCTATTCATATCTCCGCCGTTTCGTCGGCAACTTTGAGGAAATTGCTCAACCTTTCACGGAAATTCCCAGGAAGAACGTGACTTTTTCATGGCGTAAAGACCAAGAACATTCTTTTGCACAGCTCATTTTTGTGCTGCTCACATCACCACATGTGTTGGCTAATTTTAACCTCTTCACTCGATTGATTGATATATGGGGTTTAACGTCCCAAAGCCACCATATAAGAGACGTCTTAGTGAAGGACTCCGGAAATTTCGACCACCTGGGGTATTTCAACGTGTACCCAATTCTGAGCACACGGGCCTACAACATTTCCGCCTCCATCAGAAATTCAGCCGCCGCAGCCGGGATTCAATCCCGTGACCTGCGCGTCCGCAGTGCGTCCGACCTGCGCGTCCGCGGCGGGGGAGCCCCACCGCTCCAACTGAGCTTCGCACTGACGCCATGGCAAAGGGGCAATACTCGCTCAAATGTAGAATGGCACAAACTGTGTCATAGCGTAGGCTAATCGGCTACTTTCTCAGTTGAAAAGGAACTATTCCTTTACTGAGCGGGAGTGCCTGGCTCTCGTCTGGTCTATCG